TGAATAGGCCGACAACTGTGAGCGAAGTTCAAGCATTATAGTTACTAGCAATGATAATAAAACCAGAATTTTTATGTTAGAGTCTATTTAGAAGAAAGCGGTGCACTTTTTGTTGAAACTTGCATAGATGTGATAAGCATAGATAAATGTTATATCATGAGATATGTAACTTCAAAATATCAACTGACTAGCTGTCAATCAAACATATAAATCTCGAGTAACATGCGAAAACGTGAGGTGCCAATAGCCAATTCTAATTTGCAGTATCAGGTGAATTGCTGACTGGCTTACGACTAGCCTCATATTTGTCCAACAGTTGATTGGTCTTTTCCCAAAGCGCATCCTGAAGCTCCTCATCCCGCGCCAGTTGCACACTCAAGTCCCTTTCATCATCCCAACACTCTTCCCAGTACTTGCCGCTCACCTGATGTTACTTCTCTGCGAAAGAGCTAAATCGACAGATAGATCGAACTTACTTGAGAAACTTCAGGTGACGCAGCGCAATAGACAGTAGTAGCAGCTCCCTGCTCTAAGGATCTTGTGAATGGCTGTGTGATTATTCTGCTGATCTTCATAAGAATTCCAAAACTTCGTAAAGCATCTGAAATTCGCATTTTTCTGCTGTTACCAAATGACGTGGGACTTCCATTACTTTAAGTAGAGTGCTTCTCATGCTATAGGACTACTGGCATAAAGGGCCCAACAAGCAATTCGTTCGCAACCAGGCGAACAAATCTGCTGTTGGAAACCCTCACAAGGTCGCAACGCGTCAAGTAAAAGTCCGCAACCACATGTGGGTCGATGTTGATTGGACAAACTATGCCGCCTTGGATTGAGTGGAATAATGTGTTTTTCTGGATTTTCGTTGCCACTATCACTTCCAACTAATGAAGCAGTAAATTCGCTAGCAGCCCACATTCTTACGAAGTCATAACAGAATGTTATATTCCAAAGATCTTTAAAGATCAAACTAAACCTGTATTAATTCGTCCTGGATGGACGACGTACACGGAAATTCCATTCTTGTGTTCCTCACGATGAAGTCTCATACCCATGAGAACATTGCACAATTTTG